GGGCCAGGAAAGGCTCTCTTGCTCTGACAGAGAGGAGTCGGGGCTCTCCAAGCCTGGGGCTCAGAATCCATTCTTTTGAAGCATGTGGGCAGCTGACTCAAAGGTCAATGTGCCACCAACCAGGTAAGGTTGTGACCACCGTGCCTGGGTGGCTGATGGACACTGACAAAGTAAGGTGAGGCTGAGAAACGAGCAATGGGGAGATGCTGTCAACACCCAGCCCTTCCCGGGCAGTGGGATCCTTCCTCCATGACCAGCTTCCATCAAGGAAGTGGTCCCGCCCAAGCTGTGGGGACCTGGGAGGACTGGCCCTAAGAATAACTCCATTTATTTAGGTTCCTTCTCAAAGGAGCTTGGTCATGGTGACGGTGATGTAAATGATAATTATAGCCGCATTTGATGATCTTTATATAATGTGGTGACTCGTTTCCTCCTTAGAACACGCTCTCATCCTCGTCATACCTTACTCCCAGCAAAAGACAGGGATCCCAAGATGGCCAGAACTGGCCGAGTGACTTTTCCGAGTCCCAGAGTAAGTTGGGCAAGCTCTGCTACAACTTGCTTTTGAACCACAGTCCTTGACTCTAGACTTCCTTGCCCTGATGAACCAGCTCTGGATATACTGGATGGAAGTGTTGCAATCTGGGGTCTCCTCATTATCAGAAATTGGTTCTAGCACTTCTTCTGTTCTAATCCATCCCCTCAATATAAAAGAGCCCATGATGAGGACCCAGTTTAGCTCAAACTATCTATCATCATCTTCATTTGGCTTAAGACATAAAAGTTTTCAGAGCCCGTATTCAAAACTCTAAAAATATCCCTTCCGATCAGGGTGGTGTCTGTCCTGGTCACCGGCCTTAGGCCTAGATGGCCTGAATTATCTGGGTCCCACATGCAGCTTTTGCTAAAACAGAAGATCTGGTGTGAATAATTTAAATCCCATTCCCTTTCCCCTCTGCAGATTTCCTGTCCCTGATGAATGCTTCCCTCTTGGGAAAGGGACTTTAGGGGCTGCAGATATGCTAGGAGGAAGGGCTTGGACCGGGACGGATGTCACTATGCCATGTGAGCAGGACAGCCCCACCTGTCCCTGGCTCATTCTCGGGGAACGTTGGATGTCCAGCCTCACCCTCCGCCTGATCCTGGCTGGACGCACATCACTTGGCTGGCTGGTCTTTCATCTTTCCCTTTCGTCTTTGGGGACCACTTTGTGCAAAGCCAGACTCAATGCGTTCCTCCTCTGGAGTTGCCTTCAGCCTTTAGCTGAGGAAAGATTTCAAAGGGAAGTTAGACGAGGAGGGGGGGAGAAATGAGAGCAGCAAGGAGCCTCCAGGAACGGCAGAGCCCTTTCAAACTGCCTTACCCACATCGCTTGGCCCGGATCGAGAGCCTGGCTTGGAAATTTCCTACTTGTCTTAGCTACCTTCATGGGGAAACAGTAAAGGGCTCAATGATTTGGGGGCTCAGGGGCCAGGATGGGGGTGACTCAGAACCACCACTTCACCTGTGTTTCTGTCCTCAGGATGGTTCTGTCTTTGGTTCTTTTGCAGCGGGGAGCAAAGGGAGAAGATTCCGGGCTTAGAGGTTGCTCTTTGCTAGCCTGCTGCCCCCAGACCCCTGGGCCGGCGGCTGTGCATGGGCACTCTTCCCTGCCCTGGCTTCCAAGCCGGTGATGTGTCTGGTTAGTGACACTGGACCACAGAGGCCAAAGGCGCTGGATCAGTTCTGGAAGTGAGAGCAGGCAGGGGCGGGCAGGGGGCTGAGGTGGGGCTGAGAAGAAAGAGGGCATCTAGCACCAGCCCCTATGCCCCCAGCCCCGCCTCGAGGCCAGGGGGATGAGAAGGCCTCTAGTTTGTTGACCCTCTGAAGCTCAGAAGGGAGAGCTGAGAGGTAGAGGTGCACTGTCGTGCAGGCAAGCCTGAGGCCCTGGCCTTCCAGAAGTCCCCATATCTTCCCTGCACAGAGTGTGGTCCCCCCAGGCAGGCTGGGACTGGACGCTGGAGACATCAGTTATCTTAATGGCTGGGCTTGGAGGGCGGGCAGGCCTTGCTCATGGATGCTACAGGATGGGAGTAAGGGAGAGGGAGCCGTGACGTGGCTCGCAGAGCAGAAGGCTGCCCGTTAGTGACGCTTAGTCTTTCCTTCTGAACTTTAAGACTGCCAAGCGGAAGAGCTCTTATGATTGGACTGGGCTCCATAGAAGCCGAGAACACTGAGCACCCCCATTAATGCCTGGGTGACCCACACTCTCCAGCCCAGTGTCTTCGGACTAGAACGTCTAGATGGAGCATTGGAGCCAATGGCCCTCAAGTTCCTTCCTACATGGGTTATGTTCTGACACACACTGTTATTGTCATACTGTAATGAGCTAATAAGCGCAAGGAACTTTTAGGTGCCCCCGCCCCCACCCCTGGTCTCCTGCCCTAGTCTTCTGGCTAGGCCCTGCAGAGACCTCCCTCTTGTCCCCACCCAGGTCTCTGAGAGCAGCTGCTCTGCACTGACATCTGCAGATACGGAGAACGGCGCGCCCCTCCGCCCACGTTACCCACTCCGCCTCCAGTCCCCCTGCCCCCCCCATCCTGCCAGGCCTCCCTGGGATGTGGATTCTTGTTGGCAATTCTAACCAACTGGGCTTCACAATTCAGGTCTGGCACTTACTCCCTCCACACATCTGGGGCCAGTTGGCTCATGGGCATGGTAGGGTACGTAATGCCCCCTGGAGGCAGGCTGGCTGGGGGAGGGTGGTGTGGGGTGGGGGAGGGGAGCTCTGGCCCAGGAGACAAACCCAACTGCCACGAGCAGTATGGCCTCTGGGAAATTGCTTAAGCTCCCTGCCGGCCAGCTTCCTCCCCTCAAATGCACACCGTGAGAGCAAGTATGTTGCCGGGCTGGGTGAGGAAGAACAGAGCTAGAGGCATCTGTGTTTAAGAACAGGGCCTCGTGTTGAGCTCACAGGGGCTGTAGCTTCCCAGGGCTCTGTTGTGAGGACAGAGCCAGGACAGACAGCTCTGAGTGAGAAGGAAGGTTCCCCAGTGAGCATCTCTGTCTTCCTCCCTGGGCTGGAGAGGTGAGTTCTGTTTCTTCCACGGTAAGATCGGCTCGTGGAAGGAAGGGGCAGTTGGTGATCGCACAGCTCCACAGCCCATCTCCGTGGGCCAGAGGGCTCAGCCTGAAGCCCGAGGCCAAGCTCAAGGCCCCAGGTGCTAGAGGGTCAGGGCTGAGCAGAAAAAAGGCACACCCACGGAGAATGGAGGGATCAGGATCTCTCTGGGCCCGACAGCACTGGTCCCCGTATGCCTCAGTCCCCATCAGGGCAGAAGCTTCTCTGCCGACCCTTTCCACCTGCCCAGTGACTCCACTCAGCTGAGGCCGGTCAGACCAGGATGTCCTGCAGGCTCGCAAGGACGCATGCCGGGCCACGTGAGGGCTGGCTGCTGGTGTGGGGGTGGCCCAGGGCACACCTGTCCCACTGCTGTTAGGACAGCGCATGTCAAAGCCCACGTGCTGGTGGCTGGGTCCCTGTGGGACTTCCCTCCACTGGTGTGCTGCAGTCCCTGTGAGCTGCACCTTGGCTCTGGGCTAGCCCTCAGAGCAGAATCAAAGAATTTTCTCTAGGCAGGGGAGAGCCATCCTACTGAGCCCAAACATAGGTGCTTTAATAGCCAGAGTTAAAAAACTAGGTCACCACTGGTGAGAGAGGCTTCCGGGGATGGCCCATCGGCTGCTTCCAGCTCCCCTGGTTGGATGCGCAAAGGGTACAGGGAAGCAGGGTGGGGAGAGCACAGCCTTCAAGGTTTCTTCCTGTGACCTGATTCCATGCAAGCTCAACCTGATTTCTCAGGGACACTCGGACTTGTCCTGGCTCTGGCCCTTCCCTGCTAAGTCCACATGTTCTGTAGCCTCTCCTGCTCCCACTGGGCTTGGTCCTTGGAAGGACATTAAAGGGGGGAGATGTCACCCAGCTGCCTGGGAGCCTGGTGTGGCCAACAGTACATGGGTGCAAGGGAGTGGGTCTGCCTTCTGCCCTGGCCGGTTCTGCCCTGGCTTCCTTTCCAGACACGATGAACCGGCTATGGATGGACAGTCTTCCCAGCTTCAAGGAACCAGAGCTGCCCACAGCATCACCCATGACATCCTCTTGCCCCGACAATCAAATCTGTGTCTGATTAAGCTTCTAGATTCAACTCCCAGGAGAATACATTAAACAATGTCACAAGGATATAATCAAAAAATCCATAGGACAGATGACCTGGTTCCTTCAACAAATAAATTGCAAACAAGGAGAGAGACAGAGAGACTCACACACACACAAAGGTGGTGTAGCTGAGAGACTAAAAGGGATTCAGGAGACAAATTGCCCAATCTTAATACATGGGCCTAATTTAGGTTTCAATTCAAACAAACTGAAACAAGAAAAGAGGAAGGGAAGAAAGAGAAAGGGAAATTTGAAACTGCCTGGTTATTTCATGATATTAGGGATTGACTGGTAATTGTTCTTAGATGTGATCATGATGTTGTCATGTTTTCTAAAGAAAGACCCTTCCATTCTAGAGGGATGCATTGAAATATTACAGACCACTCGCTGTCTGGGAGCCAATGGGGGAGAGGTAGGAAGGAGGGAGGGAAGAAATGAACCAGAAGATGGTAGCTGTTGAGTCTGGGTGATGGGACAGGGGGCTTCATTATCACATTCATTTCTGCATATCTTTGAAAAGCACCATAATAAAATCTGGAAAGAGAAAAAGGAGGAAGAGGAGGAGCAGGAGGAGGAGGAGGTAAGTGGAAAGGTAGAGTAGAGGGGCCATCAAGTCTGGCTTAGGTGTTAAGAATCTGGAGACTGTTACCACCACCAGACCTGAGGGTGACTGTTCCTCTCTGGCTTTCCTGAGGCCTCAATTCCAGGGACCTCTACCGTGTGTGTGTGGGGGGGAGGTGGTTCTCAATATAGGAACCTGACAGGGGGCAGGGGGAGGGCTGGGGGGCTCCAGCAAGGCACTCACCGTGGAGAGGCAGCTCCTGTCCTCCCGGATGATGGCGCCGAAGCCCAGGAAGCCTGTCACCATGACCAGAGCCCCGGCGAAGATGAGGATGTAGGCGGACGCAGCGAAGGTGCTGGAGGCCAGGACACTGAGGTAGCCGCTCTTCTCTACCAGGGTCCAGATGCCCACGGCCATGACGGCCGCCCCGCCCACCTGCAGAAAAGTCCAGGTCAGAGCAGGTGGCCGCCGCGGGCCCACAGCTGCCATCGACAGAGCGCCTACCACGTCCCAGGCACTTCTTTGTACCACCTCATCTGGTCTTTCAAAGAGCCCGAGAGGATAGTTTGGTCACCCATTTCACAGATGAGGAAATCGAGGCATGGAGAAGTTAGGAGACTTGTCCTCAGTCACACACCTGAGCAAGATGCAGGAATGGATTTTTGAATCCAAGGCTGACTCCCAATTGTGGTACTTCTTACTGGGATGATATTGTGTCCCCATGAGACACGACCCCCTTCCTCTCCCGGTGCTCCTTGGACTGGCCCATGTTTGCAAGTAGGGTGCGCCCCATTTCAGCCTTATGTTTGTTTGCCCATGGACGGAGCATACTGGGGCTTCTCATCGTGTCCCTTCTCATCTTCAGATGACAAAACTGGGGCCCACCAAGGAAAGGCCAGCTGCTTGAGTTCCTGCCTCTGGTTAGGGGCCGTTCGGGGTCGCGGCAGGGCCAGGACGTGGACTCAGAGCCACACTGCCTCCCTCAACCCTGAACGGACACACGCTGCACCAGCTGGAGTCAGTCTGGGGCAGCAGGACTGGGAGAGATTTCTTCCTAGTTAATGATCCCATTTTTTTTCCAGTATCGAGAAGGAGGCAGGGACAGGGCACTGCTGACTGGCAGGTCAGTCCACTGGCTCCCGAGGAAGGTTACCTGGGACACAGAGCTGGGGTGGCTCTGTAGGGTGGTTCTTTCTGCACGGAGGCTGAATACCCTTCCTGTGACTTGTATGCTCAGTAGAAGCGTGTGTATGTGTGTGTTTCCACATCCTCAAGGTGCCAGACGGGGCGGTATTAGGGTGTCCACCCAGGGTCTTGGTGGGGAGCAGGACTCCTGGGACCTCTGACCATCTCTGTCTTCTGCTCCTGGGAAGGCAGACTTCTATCTGGCTCCCGTCTCCCTGCCTCACTTAGAGGTGGGTTCTCTTCCACAGACGGATAGGGAATCTGCCTCGGGTGTGTCCAACGCTACAGAAGCCCCCCCACGCCCCCACCCCGTGCCGCCTGGCTTGGTCTATGCACGGTCATCCTGCCAGGGGCTTCCATCCATCCCAGAGTGATTCTGTAACCCACCCTGTCATTTCACGGTGTCTGTTCTCGGCACTCACAGATGTCAGCTGAGTGAGCAGAAGGGGGATGCAGCTCTCACCATGGCCGGGGCACACTCTCTTCTGAGCCTTGCGGCAGTTCTGTGTGTGGGGGAGGAGGGCGGGGATGAGGAGCACGTAGCTCCATTCGGCAGATGAAGAAACTGAGGCTTGCAAAGAAGAAGAAGGTGCTCAAGTTAACACCCTTAGAAAGCTTCAGAATTGAGATTCAAAGCCAGGTTTTCTGAAGGTCGGCTGAGGATTCTGTCCTCTGATTCCACAGGTTGGGCCGGGTCTGGTGTGCTACTCACTTCACTCTTAAAATCGATTTTCTTCCAAGTGCTCTTTGTCCCCCTCAGCACCTCCAGCAGGTGAGAGAAACAGGTAGCAAGACATCACACAGCCGCACCGCTCCAAACGGAATGGGAGAGGCTAAGGTGCTTGTTTCTTCAATTCCAGGATGCACGTCTCCCCCCACCCCTCCGCCAAAGCTCTCCCTCCCCGACTTTAACATCTCTACAAGGGAGATGCGTCTTACGAATATACTTGGCCACACGTTTTCTTGGTAGTGCAGAAAACAACGGCGTTATATCTCACAGTTGGCGGTATTTCAGTGAAATCCTGGACTATGATAGATTTTATTTTTTAAATTTTATTTTATTTTGAAATTCTCTGTGAGTGTAGGGTCTCTCTGGCCCGTACAGCCTTCATGACCAGGAAGGGGGTTCCTGAGTCTGGCTCAGGGGCACTGTGTCAAGTGAGGCTTTCCAGAAGAAAGCCTACACGGGTTCTTTCTGGCCCCCTGCCCCAGTGTGGCTGAAAGGCTTGGGTGAGGGTCCCAAATTTGCAGAGCTAACTGTGTGGCTTAAGAATGTCAGTTTCCTCATCTCCCCAATAAGGGGGCTGTATCAGACTCGTGACGCCCAGCCTACAACCACCAAGGGCTTCTTTGATTACTTTTTCCTGCGGATCTTATATTTTGAAGGCTTTTGCCTACCAAGTACAGTACATTAATTAAATAATAATTCATTTCTCATTTTTTATTAATCAAAGGCACATGAGAGGGCCAGGAAGAGATTTCGAGCGGCACGAAACAGTCAATGTGACCACTTTGCATTGATCTTTTAATGGGTGTATCTCTTCATAGGAATATACACATGATCCATTATCCATTAGGTTTGTCAACCCCACAGGCGGAGAATCAGATTCAGGATGCCCCATCTGGGCATGTGTGGGCTTGAGTGGGGACACCCGTTGAGGGACTTGGAACCCAGTGAAAATCTGATAAGAAGCTTTGGACACTCTGGCCAGAGAAACGATAAGCCATGTTAAATAATGTATTCAGGTTTGGGGTTTGAAGTCTAATCCTATAGCACACAGTGAGCCCTGGTGTCGATGGGTCTCTAAGGCCACCTTCTCAGCCTGGCTGCACAGTCCACTAGGAGTTCCCTGAAACCCAAGCCACAGCCTGGGGCCAAGTGGGATTTCTGGGAAGAGGGTCCACGCGGGACTATTTTACGAAGTTCCCGGGTGGCTCCGGAGAACGACCGCGTGGGTTCCTTATTTAATGTGGGGTCGGAATGCCCTGCCCCTCCACCCCAGGAGGTGGAGCGGTGATAAATCTCACAGAAGACGCTGCTTCCTGGAAGATTTGGGGCCCCTGCCCTGGGTGTAGCTGCCTGGATAGCTCTTGACGCTTGTTCTGGACTTGAACTCCATCAAACTTTCCCTGTCTGGGTGAGGCTGTTTGCTTTGGTAGGACCTTTGAGGTGGAAGCTGGGGTAGTGAGGAGCAGAGTTCCCAGTCCAAAGGGATGAAAGTCCTATTAGGAGAAAAGAAAAAAAACAACACGACCCATGGGGCTCCCAGAGAGAGGAGGTGGTGGGGGGCGCATAAGAAATGCAGCCCCAGGAGAGGAGCTGTATTGATCCCACTAATGGAGCTGTTCTCTTGCCAGTCACAGAAAGGGCTGGGATCTTGCAAAGCAGGGAGAGCCCACAAGTCAGCCAGGGTGGCAGCAGGGCCCCCAGCCATGAGGGAGGGTCTGGAAGCAATCTGAAGGGACCCACTGCCCTGACCGAGGTCCAGAGGACACATTTATACTCGATCTGATGTCACTGGGGACACCACCCCTTCCCTGGGATGTCACATTGGGTGGAGAAGTTCGTGTCTGCACGGGACATGGAGAGGGATTTGCCAGCAGGAACAAGAGGGTTTCAAGTCCTCAAGGGGTTCGGTCTCCTTCAGCTCTTTAGAAAACAATCTTGCATCCGGACAGGAAGAGTGAAAGCTGCTAAATGTTGGAACGGGTCACCAGAGGAGGACGGGGAGGTAGAAGTCAGCGGGCCTAGGTTCCAGCCCTGGCTATGCCCCTGTCTCGCCATGCAACTGGGTACCAGACACTTCACTCGGCTAAGCCTCAGTTTCTTCATCTGTAAAATGGTGCTGCGGGTTGAGAATATCTCCGAGGTCTCTTCCATGTGGGTAAAATATCACTGTTAGTACGGGACGATGACCTTCCGCCAACATTCCTCCAGCAAGATGCTTCTGGACCAGTGGCTCAAGGCTTTCACTCCAGCGGTGTGGAGACTGCCCAGCTCAGCAGGAAGAGCAGTGGAAGGGGAGCCGCGAGGAGGACTGAAGGGGCGCGGAGAGAGACCTGACCCCAGTGAGCTATTTCAACCGCCGTTTGCATGCGGTTGATTCAACGGTATTGGGCTCTTTACAGAAACTGTGGAATATTAACTCCATTTTTCAAAACCAGAGCCTGTAGCCAATTAGCCAGAAAGCCCCGCAGAGGGTGAAGCTGGCCTTCTTGCCAACGAGGACCCCGGCGGTCCAGGAGGCGCAGGGCAGGTCACCCACGCCTCGCAGTTTTAGGAACTTCCAATCTATAGAAGAGAAGCATTGCCAGGAGAAGGGTTAGCCTGAGCTGCCACACATGGCTGGGCCTCGACAGACAGCAGGCAGAAGCAACCCCCCTCCCCCAAACCCTAAAAAGCAGGCAGAGAATATAAAAGTAATTGCAGGATTTTCTTTGTCAGGCTACTGAAGGGTTTCTGCGCTGGGATCTGGGGGCAGGACCGGTTGTAGGGGGTGGAGAAGCAGGGACCAGGATGGCAGGGCTCTCAATAAGGAAGGGTCCCCCAGGCCAGAATCCCTTGCCTTCAGTGAGAAGGAAGCCCGTGACAAGGAGAGGCAAGAACACACAGGGGGACCATATGTTCACTTTTTTTTTTTTTTAAAGATTTTATTTATTTATTTGACAGACAGAGATCACAAGTAGGCAGAGAGAGAGGAGGAAGCAGGCTCCCTGCCAAGCAGAGAGCCCGATGCGGGGCTTGATCCCAGGACCCTGGGATCATGACCTGAGCTGAAGGCAGAGGCTTTAACCCACTGAACCACCCAGGCACCCCCATGCATTCACTTCTGTATGTGTTTGCCAGGCACCTCCTAGCTGCCCAGCTCCACACTGGCCTGGAAAGGTTTTGGAGCAAAATGGGTATTTGCCCATTTAGAGCAGCACTGGGAGCTCCTTCTCCCTCATCAGTGGCACCGCCATCTGCTCAGATGAGAGCCAGAGTCACTGTGGACTCCGTACTCTGTCCCCCAGCGACTGTGGTGTGTGGGTCCCCAGCCGTCCTCCTGACCCGGCTCCAGGCACTGTTCCGGCTTTGGCTCCCTGCCTCCCCACACCTGTGTCACCGGCTTTCCGGTCCTTGCTCAACCCAGAGGTAAGCATGTCCTGCTTCCAATGCTGAGCCACAGGCAACCCCACCGAAAATCTGCCCCTGGCTCCCCAACCCCCAAAGCATCCAGCCCAAACGCCAGCCTGCCTCCCTGGCCGGC